TATATGGAAAAACTGCCCTCCCTTCTCCAGACTCAGTGCATAGCCAGTGCACTGAAGAATACGGAGGAAGTTAGAGTTAATACTCTGGCCCTCCAGCCACCATACTCTTATAAATATCCATGTTCCTAGCACAGGTGTCTTCAATCAGAGGCCTCTTAATCAGATCCATGGCTAAATTCTTTCTCAGGTACCTCTGAGACACCTACTCATTAGGAGCTCTCACAGACCCCTCTCTCCAATGTGATTCATCATTTAGTCCCTTACAGCTCCTAACCCTTCACACAGCCTTCCCCTTGCATTCGAGCTCATGGAAAAAGAAAGCCTTTGGTTGAGAGGGAGAGTATGTTCACAACCCTCTTGGAAGCTATCTTGTTGTAATCTGAAATGGGCTCCTCTAAAAAAGAGGCAGGCCGCTCCAGGTTGGTAAGTGACTGTTTTAATAATAACAAAGGGAACATAACAATTGAAGCTTGGCTTAAGTGGCAGCAAGATGAATGGATCCCTGTCCCCACTTTCTGAATTTTAAACCTTAGAAAGAGACCTTAACTTGGCTCAGTCACATAAACAATGTAAATGTTTCCAACATCATATCATATCTCAAGTTTGTGTCTTTGGAGCAGTCTGTGGGAGCCAAAAGGCAAATGAAATCCACATTCCAAGGATGGGGCAGGGAGAAAATAGCCTCTAGGTAATCAAGTCTAACTCACTCACAAGTCAATTGATATCCATGTCCTTTTGATTATGTTCCCCAAAATGGTAGGTACTTTAGCAATGAGATGACTCCTCCTACCCTGATCCATCTATATGACCCTCATCAAGTGCCATTCCATGGGAAAAAATGAACACTGGGACAGTTGGTACCTCCTTTCTTGCCTTTGGCTAAAACTATTTCAGTAAGTGAATAAAGTTTTTGTTGTTTTTGCTGTTGTTGTTTTTGCTTGTTTGTTTGTTTTCCAGTTTGCACTATAGTCTTAGTGGACCAACTAGACATCTGGTTCTTAGCTCATCTCAGAACTCTGGTGTTATTAAAAGATTATCAGGGTTGTAGAGTACAAGATGAGTATGCAACCCTCATTTGCTCTCCTAAATACCAGCCTTGAAAAGTTAGAATTTAAAAATATAGGGGACGGGACACCTGGGTAACTCAGTGGGTTAAGCCTCTGCCTTCAGCTCAGGTCATGATCTCAGGGTCCTGGGATCAAGCCCCCACATCGGGCTCTCTGCTCAGTGGGGAGCCTGCTTCCTTCTCTCTCTCTGCCTGCCTCTCTGCCTGCTTGTGATCTCTGTCAGGTGAATGAATGGGATCTTAAAAAACAAACAAACAAACAAAAAACAAAAACAAAAGCAAAAAGAAAAACAAAACCCTGGATGATTTGAACAAACTGATTTCAAGACTTATTATAAAGCTACAGAATCCTACATTCTACTTTCTACAATGACAGAAGATGGTCTGGCATTGGTAAAGTAAAAGCATATAGGCCACTAAAACAGAATAGAGAGTCCAGTACTACACACCTACCTGTATGTTACAGTTAGCTAATTGTTAACAATGGCTTAATGGCAACTCAATGGAGGAAGGGTAGTCCTTTCAACAAAATGTACTGAAGTGATTCAATATACATATGCAATAAAATTCTGGGCACTCAATTTACATCTTTCTAAAATTACTTAAAGCAAACAAACAAATAAAAATAAATGAATAAAGTGTAACATTATAGAACTTCTAGAGAAAAAAGATTAAATGATTTTTTAAAAATTATGACTTTTTAGGAAAATCATTGAAAGAATGATACATGAAAGGAAAATGTTTAAAGTTGGATTTTATTAAAATTAAAAACTATTTCTGTGCAAAATATATTATTAAGAGAATGCAAAACCAAGACAGTGACTGGAAGAAAATAATTGCAAATCATGTATCGAATAAGTTTATACCCAAACACACAAAGAACTCCTACATTTCAGCAAAAAGAAAACAGAAAATAAAATAAAATTAAATTAAAATCTGTAAAATACCTGAGTGAACCTGTCAGAGAATTTGTGGAGGTGGAAAATGAGCATAAGAAAAGATGCTTGATGTCTGCTTTCAGCTCAGGTCATGATCCCAGGGTCTTAGGATCAAGTCTTGCATCATACTCCCTGTTCAGCAGGTAGCCTGTTTCTCCCTCTTCTTCTGCCCCTTCCCTTATTTATTCTCCTTTCTCTTTCTCTCTCTGTCAAATAAATAAATAAAATCTTTAAAAAAATAAACAAGGGGCACCTGGGTGGCTCAGTGGGTTAAAGCCTCTTCCTTTGGCTCAGGTCATCATCCCAAGGTCCTGGGATGGAGCCCCGAATCGGGCTCTCTGCTCAGCAGGGAGCCTGCTTTCTCCTCTCTCTCTGACTGCCTCTCTGGCTACTTGTGATCTCTGTCTCTGTCAAATAAATAAATAAATAAATAAACAAAAGATGCTTAACATCTATGGTTGCTATGTAAATGGAAATCAAAACCACTGTCCTGCAGCCCTTTTAGAATGGGTAAGATCCAAACAAAACAAACAACAAAACACAAAAAAAATCCTAAAAATACCTATTGCTGATGAGGATGTGGAACAAAAGACACCATTCTCATTCATTGCTGCTGGGAATATAAAATGGTACAGCTATTTTGGAAAACCATCTGACAGTTTCTAAGAAATTTAAACCTAATCCTATTCAAACATTTTATCTGCAGGTTTATGTATTTCTCATCCATGAATTCCAAGTATCTATTAATTTTTACCTCAGTTTCCTAAAGCTTGCCCAGCACTGTGTCTGTCATCCTGCTTACAAACACCAGTGTATGCCATTATTTCAGGTATGGTCAAGATACTAAACTTATAGAGTAAATATAGGTGAGCAATCCAGCTCATGAAAATAGTCTATAAAATATTAGGTTTGTTTCATATACTTAAAATAGATATAGACAAAAAGAGAATTCAAAGTGACCTAGACATACACACTGGAATTGAAAAGTTGACTTTTCCTCATTTGAGCTGCACCTAATTGTGTTTTTCTCTCCCTTCCTCACCCTTCCCCACACCCAGAACATATTCTTAAAGCTAACAAGGCTCCCTAGGGACTGGGAACTTAATTTTTTTGTTGACATCTTAATATACAGAGTTGTGTGAAATGCTCTGAATTCTATATGATACACAAGGAGTTCCACTTGTTTCTGCATCATCTCACCCAAACCCCTACTGCACTTCAAAGGAAGAAGCAGTCACCAAAGATGGTTCCAATATGAGGCAGAAAAAATGGAGCCCAGACATCACTGACTCCAGCATGAGCCATGGCACAGTCCTCTCTTCAGCGAAGTTTGTGCAGAGAATGGTGAAGTCAGGACATCAAGCCAATCCTGAATAAGGACGTATAGGTGAATTGGACTAATTAAGAAATAGATCTTTATGCATTTTTTATTCATTCTCCTTGATGGCTCACATTATCTTCTTTATGAAATATCTTTAACTAGATGTCAGGGCAGACTCTAATCTCCAAATAGTAATTTTATTCCTAGGTTTTGGACAAGTCTTTCTGATTTTTCTTCCTTCTGTAAGCATGTGAATACATATTCATTATTGTTGTTTTTGATCCTGAGGAAAGGATGAAAGCTATATGACATTGTCATTTCTAGAAATGTCATTGCTTGTATTTTTGAACAAGTGCCCATAATTGCTAAGAGTGATGTGACAGAAGAGTCAATAGTGATGACACAGTTATTTTGCTGTGATCTCTGTTAATGTAAGTTGTCTAAATGGCTGATAATCAAGAAAGCTATGGATTAAGAGTGTGAATCAAAATCATGTCCCCTTGCTTTGGCTCAGTGTCATCAACCCTAACTAGTTGTATATACTTGTATATTCTTTGTAGCACAGTATTATTTTCTTTTCATTACAGAATGCGGATGAACCTAAAACCCATCCCAGAAGGTCACCTCATAGTGCAGATGAAATAATCCAAATAAAACATTTATAACACTGTACAAAATAGAAAATACAACTGTTAGATATGCTGCTATGTCATTAGTACTGTCCTTACTATACGTCAAGATGAACTGGCTTCACAAGAATGGATTTACCTTATTATACCATGAATACTTATTAGGTTATAGATTCCCATATTTAAAAACACAACCTGGAGAAAGCAAGGGGAATACATGAAAACAAAGCGGGGATTGGGTGTGAGCTGGTGTGGCACATGTTCTATATTTATACAACTGTGAGAAGAGGGAAAATGAGTATGTTAAAGAAAAAAGAATAATTTGTGTACACATTTTTTTGGAAGAGAATGGATAGCCCATTATCTGAGGCAGAAAGTTTTTATTCCTGCCTGAGATTCATTGCTTTAAAAATATAAACTAGTGAAAAAAAATAAACTAGTGAAGATTAATATAAATGGAAGAGCTTATTCCTCATGCCTATATTTGTGAGTTGGTGGTGGAGATCAGATCACAAATAAGTCTAAACTAATATGTAACTAAATTCTCTAAATATCAAAGCTACACAACATACCTTGATGAATGAACAAATGTGTGCATCCTAATGAGCCTCTCACTTCTAAATAGAAACATGAGAAGTGGCAAATATGGGGATGACAATCAGATTATCAGAATTATCCAAGTTCTACACCCATCTCTGCCACATATTGATATTGCAAATTTAACCAATAAGTGCATATGTACATGTGTTTATACATATTCTGGAATTAAAATTGGAATTTGTTTTTCTCTGAAAAAAAACAATCAAATCGAAATTTAATTTATTCTAGTATATGTGATTATGTTTTTCAAATTTCATTTAAAGAAAGTTTTCAAAAAAAAAATGAAAAAAGAAAATTTAGTCTGGGAAGTTACTGAATACAATCTCCTTAATAGCATTTTAATGTTAAAGAAACATTATTTCTTTGATATATGACTATGATTCTATGTCCTTAAAGAACATTATTCTTCTCCTGCTTGTATCATTAGCTTATCACTGGCACCCAACATGGCTCAGGAAAATTCCAGCATCATCATTGAGTTGGTCCTTCTTGGATTTTCTAATCATCCTCAGGCTGAGATCCCTCTCTTCCTCCTCTTCTCTGGGGTCTATCTGGTCAATCTCTTTGGAAACACAGCTATTATCATCTTGGTGGTAATTGATCCCTGTCTCCAGACACCCATGTATTTTTTCCTCTGCCACTTGGCCTTTCTCAACATATTTTACACCACAGCTGTGGTCCCCAAGATGCTCTTCAACCTCCTTGCTCCCAAGAAAATTATCTCATATGAACTCTGCCTTGCCCAGACCTACATCTCCCTGTTAATGGGAGCAGCTGAGTGCATTATTCTGGCCATCATGGCTCTGGACCGTTATGTGGCCATTTGTTACCCTCTACGATACCTGCTCATCATGAACTGGTCTGTGTGCATGCGGCTTGCTGTAGGGGCATGGTCCATCAGTTTCTTTGCCTCAGTGGTGCCCCTCTACTTCACCATACTTCCCTTGTGTAGCCCTTACATAGTTGACCATATTTTTTGTGAAGCACCTGTTCTTCTTCATATGTTCTGTGCTGATACATCCCTGCAAGAAACCCTGATGGTGATAGGTGCATCTGGTACCCTCTTGCTCCCCTTCCTTCTTATTACTATCTCCTACCTCCGCATACTGGTTGCTGTGATGAAGATGCATTCAGCAGAGGGTAGGAAAAAAATTTTCTCTGTCTGTAGCTCTCACCTGACTGTGGTGACCATTTATTATGGGACAGGTATGTTCATGTACATGAGGCCTAAATCTCTATATTCAGCTGAGGGTGATAAATTAATCTCCTTATTTTATGCTGTCATCAATCCTGCTTTGAACCCATTAATCTACAGTCTGAGGAACAAGGAAGTGACTGGAGCCTTGAAGAGAGTCTTAGGAAGATTGTCAGTGTCCCAAAGGCAAATGATACTATCTTGAAATGCCAGTAGACAGAATCTTATACTTTAATGGACTGTCTAAAAACTGACATTAGTAACTTAATTAACCACAACTATATCAGAGTTATTGCAAATATACAATTTCATTCACTACTGACACCCTTTTGTGACCCTCCTTTTAGTGACTAATGTTAACAGACTATATTCTTTTTTTAAAGATTTTATTTATTTATTTGACAGACAGAGATCACAAACAGGCAGAGAGGCAGGCAGAGGGGGCGGGGATCAGGCTCCCTACTAAGCAGAGAGTCTGATGTGGGGCTCAATCCCAGGATGCTGGGATAATGACCTAAGCTGAAGGTAGATGCTAAAGGACTGAGCCACCCAGGGGGCCCAACAGATTATATTATTGTATGAAATATAGCTACATATAAGTTCTTTATTAAAAATACATGTAAGTATAACTTATGAAAAAAGTGGAGTTGAAATTTCAAGGTAGGTTTTTGAATCCCATAATTTCACACAGACTATTTTATAATTACTATGTGATATTTGTACATATTTTCCTTACTAATCAAATGTCATAGCATACTCTTTATCCTTTACTCAGTCTATGAAATTATAATTTATGATTCAACTCTGCTGTAAACTGATTCTTGACCCATCTGTCCAATTCTAGTGTTCTGAATACGTCACTTCAGCCGCTCAAACATGTGCTATTTCACAAGTAATCCATTTCTCAGAAATGTGTTTTATGTGAGTATTGCAAAGCTCAAGTCATTGCCACTTTCTACATCAATCCTTTCTTGAAAACTGTCTTACCTTGCTGTAAATTCTATTACTTTGATGCAAGACCATAAAAGTTATCTCTTTTATTGTAAGTTGTATTTTATTTTCTCACATGTTTTTTGACAGTCAATAAATAATTTACTTAGACTGTACAGATAACATTGGCTATCCATAGAAATATCATCATCTTACTCATTAAACAGCACACACTGGGGGTGCCTGGGTGGCTCTGTCCTTAAGCATCTGCCTTTGGCTCAGGTCATGATCACAGGGTCCTGGGATCGAGCCCAGCATTGGGCTCTCTGCTCAGCAGGGAGCCTGTTTCTACCTCTCACATTCCCTCTGCTTGTGTTCCCTGACTCACTCTCTCTCTCTCTCTCTCTTTCTCTCTCTCAAATAAATAAAATATTAAAAAAAATAAACAGGACACACTGACTTCTAACTACAGCACAGGAGAATAGAGCATAAGGAATAACACAGAGGACACTGGGAGTTGGAGAGGAGAAGTGAGTTTGGGGAAATCAGAGAGGGAGTGGAAACATGAGAGACTGTGGACTCAGAAACAAACTGAGGGTTTTGGAGGGGAGGGGGATGGGAGAATGGGTGAGTCTGGTGGTGGATATTAAGGAGGGCACATATTGCCTGGAGCACTGGGTGTGGTGCATTAACAATGAATCTCGGAATGCTGAAAAAATAAAATCAAGTTAAAATTAAAAAAAAAAAAAAGCAAGCCTTCCTTATAAGGCTCACTTGTGCTGAGTCATGAATAATGGAGAAAATTCACCAGGTGTACATGTCAAAAAGGGAAACTCTAAATGAAGTTGTAGCATGGTGGGGGGGAGAAACAGTGAAAATAGTTCATTGTATCTTTCTTGAACTCTACACTGTCCTCAAAACATATACGCATTTTGTTAATTTAATAAATAGAGGAGGTCTTAACATTTTTAGAGGGATTTATTTATTTAATTGAGAGAAAGAGAAAGCGTGAGAGTGGTGGTGGGGCAGAGGTGAGAGAGACTTATCCAATCTATCTCTATCTCTGGACTCTGAGATCATGACCTGAGCCCAAACCAACGGTCAGTTACTCCGGCACCCCAGCATTTTTCTTTTTCTTCTCTTAACGTCAACTTCCCTTGTAGTCTTTATTTGTTTAAATAAATGTCATGTTTTACCTAATTGTACATTAAAATATGATGTTATGTGTCAGATTGGCAACCTAAATTTGGGGGAATTTTTTTTTTTTTTTTTTTTTGCTTTAAGATTTATTTATTTATCTATTTAGATCATGCAAGCAATTGGGGAGGGGTGGAGAGAGAAGGATAGAATCTTTTTAAGATTATTTACTTATTTGACAAAGAGAGAGATCACAAGTAGACAGAGGCGGGCAGAGGGAGATGGGGAAGCAGGCTCTCTGCGGTGCAGAGAGCACAACGCGGGGCTCAGTCCCAGGATGCTGAGATCATGACCTGAGCCAAAGGCAGATGTTTAACCCACTGAGCCACCCAGACGCCTGGAGAAGGAGACAATCTTAAGCTCACTCTGGGCTGTTGCATAGAGCACCACAGGGGGCGTGGTGCCATGGTCCTGAGATCATCACCTGAGCAGAAACCAAGAATCTGAAGATGAACCAATTGAGCCACCCAGGTGACCCAGGCAAAGCTATTTTTATTCCCTAAGTGTTGTATTTTATGCTTTTTTTTTTGACCAGTTAAAATTAAGCTATAAAAAGCATTATGTATGCATAGTAAGAAAATAAAAAAAATTATATTCAACTGATGGCTTTACTTATCTTACTATTTTTAAATGGAAAATTCCTCATTTCATATAATGTCTACCTTTCTTATCCCAAATATCATGCCTTTGATTTTCTATTTATGTGGCAAGCATGACTATTAAAAAAAAAAAGTTCCAGATTAGAGCTCTGATACTACAACTGAAGGTCACTGGAACCTCATTTTCTGCATACATAATTTAAAAATAGAAAAATGAAAATATTTCTGATCCCTTATTGAGAGGATTACAGGGCATTGTGCATACAATTGTAATAAGTTCTTAGAAAATCAAGTACCCTATTAGCACCCAAGACACTGAATTTCCAAACCATTTTGTTCTGTTTCTTTAAACCAAGGTGCCACAAATATATGTTGGAACTACTTTCATAATTTTTGACACTATTTCTTACTCTAAGACTATTTAAATCTCTATCTTTATATGTTTGAGGTGAGTTTCCTTTCTGTTGCAGTGTACTGCCTGTAGGATAGTTTCTGGCTGTTGACATCATCACTTCATAACATAGATTATAACTCCATGTATGAAAGTAGCTAATAACTGAAGACTCTGAAATAGGGTAAATTGTTCTATTGTCCATGCCTTCTACTTCTAGGAAATCTTCTGGGGATTCATTACTGGAACTCCAACTTTTTTTTTTTTATTTTTTATAAACATATAATATATTTTTATCCCCAGGGGTACAGGTCTGTACGCCAGGTTTACACACTTCACAATGGAACTCCAACTTTTAATGAGTAATTTTTCTTCTGAGAGCAAACGTGATAATGGAGATGTTGCCAAACACACACACACACACACACACACACTTGTTTGAACATACACTCCTATATCTCAGTAAAATAATAAATTAATATGGCTTGTGCAGAACACTGATAAAACACAGTGGAAAAAAAGTTAAAAATTAAATATCCAAAAAAAATTTTTTTTTCTTTTTAAAAAAGATTTTATTTATTTATTTGAGAGAGAGAGAGGGTGAGAGAGAGAGTATGACAGGGGAGAAGCAGACTCCCTGTGGAGCTGGGAGCCCGATGCAAGACTGGATCCCAGGATACCAGGATCATGCCTAAGCTGAAGGCAGTTGCTTAACCAACTGAGCCACCCAAGTGCCCAAACTTATTTTTTCTCTATAAGTTAACGATATAATTTATTTCCCAAACAAGGTCATGATTGATGATGGAAGTCCCAATGCTAATAATTTATGGTGATAGAAGGAAGAATCCAAGACTCTCTGAGTTTGAAAAACTGAGGTTATGATATCTTACACATATTGTAACTTACAAGATAATTATAAGAAACAACATTTTTATGATTAGGTATCACAACAGTGATACCTAATAACCATAAAATTCACTAAATCAAAGGTTGTTTTCCAGTAAAGGCAACAGAATGTGTCCCTATTTCTACAATTAAAATTCAGCAACCATTCAGAAGCCAAAATGGGATTGTGCAAGCAGTGGAATAAAACATCACATACCAGGGGACTAAGAAGGATTCTTAGTATCTGTACCCTGTACAGTGGGTAATAGGCAGACAAATCATGGTACAGGCTATCCCTTATTAGATATCTCTTTTGAAAGTGTTTTTGATCATTCTGTGACTTACATTCTAATTCTTTTGATGGCCTTTGTAGAACAGAAGTTCTAATTTT